GCACGCTTGTGCAGTTTGTGCAGAATACGTGTTTCTTTTTCAACCTTGACCTACAAACACATTCCCAATGCTACTTTCTTATTCTTTTAAACCGTTGCCGTTTCTTCCATGTACATTCGTATAACATATAAACATATATGTTATTGCTATCAAACAAAGCATAGTTGAGTTTAAATTATGTAATTTCGTCGTGTTTTTATGGGGTTTTATGTATTTTTTTATTTAAAGGCAACGAGATTATAATTACATTAAAATTTACCTTTTATAATGCCGTAAATAAAAGGAAAGCACCTTTTGAAAAGTTCTGTCGAACCAAATTAACATTAAGAGCAATGAAAAGTATTCGAAATTAGATGTAACTACTTTAGAATGTTATGAATAAATTAGAAATCCGTTGCGGTTAAATAATCCTAACGTCAATTAAATCTTCTATCATGGTCTGATTGCTGATACTCCTGTCATCGAAATAGTTTTAGTTTGGTTTACTAGGCTACAAGTGGAAAGAAATATCAAAAAGAAGAGTGAAAATAGGAAATCTATGAGATTGTAGCTTTTTAGAATTGTATATAGAGCGGAGGCAGGATATCTGTAATTTTCAACCATAGATTACCTAATTACCCTTTCATTCGAGTTCGAACCGGTGTTTTCAGCTAACGCAAGAGCAAATATTTTGTTTTTTGAATCTCTTACGGCAATAATTTGTTTACAAGCTTGTATTGGAACAAAAACATAAGAAATAACCTGTTATAGGTTTATTTTATGGAAAGCGGATTGACTGTGGTTCGTGTTAAAGATACTTTCCGAAAAATCGTTATGAGGTTTAGAATGATTTCAGTCCAGGTTACATAAATGAACATTAGTTCCCAGTCTATTATTATGATTTCGTCCATACCTATTGCCAAAGTTTTTTTTTTCTCTACGTTAAAGTTTTGACGATGTTTTCTTTTCCTTTTTTCTTTGATTTTAACACCCATGTCTTTTTATTTAAGAAACGTCTTTATCGGAACAATAAGTTGTTTACAACTTGACCATTTTTCACAAAGTTTAAAAAAATACATATATTAGTATTTTAAAAATGTTATTATTATACGCATTGAAATCTATAACAGAATAATATTTCTGAAAGTAAAAATATAACACTTTGCAATAAAAACTATTTGAAATACTATTGTCATGAACAATCCGAACTTTTTTTAAAAAAAGGAATGCAAATTGAATCATTTTTATTATGTATATGCATGGCAAAGCACCCAAAAGCATGTAATATAATCAGAAGACTCTAAATCAGAACAGTCTGGAATCTGGGTCAAAAATATTCCTCAGATCGAATCGGCGTGCAGAATTCTAAAAAGAAAAAAATTATATAATCATCTCCTTAGACGAGGTAATTATTAGGCTAGCAAACCAGAAACTTTCTTTGACCATACATTAAACCTAATCATATATGTTTTTCTTTCTCTTCCTCACTCATTCTCAATCTCTCACTCACTCTCTGCCTATCTATATATCTATCTATCTATCTATCTATCTATCTATCTATCTATCTATCTGTCTATCTATCTATCTATCTCTCATGTTATCTTTCTATATAACTTTCTCACTTTTTCTCTACCACTCTCTTCTGATAAACACGTCCAAAATGTAAATCGGCTTGGTGCTTCTATTACCTGAGCTGGTTATATTGAAATTGCTCCAGTGGCTGAAATTGGGGGTTAAATATAAAATTTAGAGATGAGATGAGTTAAAATTGAAGCCGCGTCGCAAATAACAACATTAAAAAACCATTATGACGATAATCAAGTCCTTTTAACTCAAACTAATTAAAAAAAAAAATTAACGCCTTGGTTAAAATTCTTGATGGTCCGATTTAGAAAAGCAGAAAGAAACCGGTATTTTATCTTATGGACCGATTTTACTCTGGTTTATGTTATGACTATAATAAGAAAACTGGTTAATAAACTGCTCAAATGAACGACGAAGACTGTTTTGAGAAATGGATGACTGTTACATACGAAATGAGTCTTGTCGTCTGTTAATTTTAGGGTTTATTATTATTGAACCCTTCCCTACAAAAACGTAAACACACACAGCGAAAGTTTAACAGTAAACACAAACTACAATGATATATACGAAAAATAAAACACGAAATATATGTGAAATCTGATCGTAACAAAATTTTAGCCCAAATTCGTTTATATGTCCATCATAGAATTATTAGTTAATAAATTGGGAAATGAATTGTTCATATAACGTTTAATAGTATTCTTGATTTAAAATTAATGTATTTCTTATACCTGTTTTTCTAAATGATTTATACGTATCTGACAATTTTCCGTATAAAAATGAAATCGCCACATATATAAATCCCAATTTAAATTTATTTTGTCTGCAATTATTATCTAGTTTTTTTACAAGGTAAACATGATCTATTAAGTTTTTTAATCGTAATTATAACCGTTTGGTTTTAAAGAAATGAAATATTTTTCTGTACGAACGAGCATAACAGGGAAAATATATTAATAACGTGGGAGGGTAGAAATTTCCATAATTAAAAAAAAACCGTACAGCCAATTAGATTTATAAAACATTTAACGCTTGTATGATTTTTAAAAAAACAAATTATCGTGGAATTACACAATTTTTTCCTCCCTTCAAGGGGAATGAGCGGAAAATTTATCTCCCGAATTGTTTTAATTGTTTCAACTCAAAATGCAGTTAAGGCGTTTCCAGGGCTGTTTTAACAGCCTTTCATTACGCATAAAGATTTTTCCGTCATATTTTCTTTCTTTTACTGGCCCCGGCCGGGCACTCTTCCCGGTAACACTTTCCACCGAGCTTTCTAAACGTTCGGCTCAGTTGGAAGAAGGCTAATTAAAAACTACGTAGAAATAGACCGGAACAATAATGACGGAAGTGTTTTTTATAAATAGTATTTTTTTTTAATTTTCAAGTTTTGACCCGGGTCCGGCCAGACCGGGAGATATGAAACGGGACAACCAGTCGATAAACGGGGAGAAGAAAGTGATGTGATCTCTCCCGGTCATTGTGTCCATCACATGACTCCAAGGCTATAACGGTCTCGTGGCCAATATCAATGATTCAAAAAGAAACATTTTATGTTTTAAAGGCACAAATGTACACTATTTGATTACATTTTTACCACTATGTACGGAAAAATGTTCAACCTAATTATATCCACTAATTGGCTATGTTTTTCAAGTCAATTTTAGCCTGGACGACACCATTTTCAGTTTAAATGACAAAACCTAAATTTCTATCTATATATAAATCTTAACATCTACATACTTATGCTCACTGTCTTCATAAGCGAAAAAAGGCCGGTTATCTGTGTATTTATTGCTTGTTTCGCCTCCGAAGTTACTTTAATTTTAAAGTGCTTTCGAAGTTCAATTATAAAAAGTTAAAAAGCTTAAAAATTATAGTTTTAAGCCCAATATACACTTCGTACTATTTGCATAATTTCAAACAAAAAAATAATTAACTTGGCAATTGTGATAATGGCAATGTCTTGCTTGTGATAATTAAATGTAAATTGGCAATCTTTGACGTTTAATTGGTAAAAGCTTTAGATCAATTTAAGCTAACAGTTTACATACTTTAAAAAAATATATAACACTACAGTACGTTTCTATATCTCATTTTAAAGAAACAATTTAAAAAAGCCTAAATATAATTTATTTATTTATTGATTTCTGGTATTTGTAATAACTTATGATTGAGAAGAACGTAACTTGCAATAAGAAATTAATTTCGAATTTGTTTGAATATGAATTAAAGCTTGATAATTTTTTTTTATTTTTGAGTTTTACATTTCTCGAAAGCCATTATCGTTCAATTCACAATATATAAAACTAAAAATAAAATTCTACGTCAAATTTCGTTCTTTAACATTGAGGTCGCGAATTGTAAATTACATCAAATGCAGTTTTCAAAATCTTTATTAAACAGGCGATTTTAGTCAAATTATAGAAACAAAATAATTAAAACATATTTTTGAACAACCTGTTCAAATTAAAATTGAATATTTTTCAGGCAAAGGGGCAGTAACAATAAATTCGATTGTTCAAAAACGTACTGTTTCATGAAATTAAATTAAACAAATTTAAATTTTCTACTTGTTCGATTGAAATTGATAAATTTGATCATATGTATGTATTGAAAAAGTATTTTACGATCGTCCTAATTTGCCATAATCGTAAGTTTTTCATAGTTCGTTTTTAACAATTTTTTTGTTTAAAAAAATATTTTCCCGCCAAATCCTTCATTTTTAAAATGCATCCGTATGAATGGTTAATGAAAATTGTGTTGTAAAATGAAAGAAGCAAGCATTTCCCTCAAGTTTTTGATAGGTCGCCAGTTGGTTTTTTTTAAACTTTTTGAACACACGTTGAGTCTATATTTCAAAATTTAACTTTAAAATAAATATTATTTATTTCAGAATTTTTATATATTTCATTTACCACGCTGCCTATGTGTGTTTTATATGTTTTCGTATTGATCGGAAAAAACCTATAGCTATAATATTACAAATAATTGCGTATTGTAAAAAGAGAGGATTATTTTAAGCTTAACAGCTTAGTAATTTAAATTCGAGTAAAATTTTTGAAGATTCGTGTATAAAAAGTTTGCAAAAAGGTTTTTTTCAACGAGGAATCTTGTTACAAATCTTAGCACATCTCTTGAAATATCAAGTGAAAATTTTATATTTGTTTCTCTAACAACACCATTGGCTTTTAGTGAGAAAAGGGTTAATAACGATAAATGAGACGCAGATCAAATTGTAGCATATCCACAGATAAAACGGCGACACCGGCATTTTCGAAAAAAAGTCACTTCCACTCGTAAAATTCCAATACCGTCCAAATCGACATTCACTTTCAATCATCACTTACACATTTCCGTCGTTCACAAGACCGCGTATCTCAGGATATTGTCAGATTTCTCAATTGTGTTCAAATTTCAATCATTTGTCGGCTTACCTGTCCGTTTTTTGACACGGGGGTTGGAGTTGGTGTTGGTCGTAACTTTGGTCGCAGCCGCCGCGGCGAGCAACGCCGTCAAGGTGATGGCAATCTGCATGCTCCCACTGACTGTAAACACTGGCACTGTTCTCGCCCAGGGCCGACTTGGGACTGTAATACTTTCACAGGTTGGCTCAGGGTCTAACGGGGAGTGGTGGTTCCAGGGGGGTGGGAGTGCTTCCTCGGGGGTGGGGGCGGCCCTTCAAGGTCGAATCAACCGCCTCCTCCCAGCCGGGGGTTGACACCCACGCAACCCTGTCTCTCCACCATTAACATCACTCGCCCCTCGCAACAAAGTTGATGCGTTCAAGTCTTTTGGCCTACTTAGACGATTTAAATACACTGACAGGCAAAAAATTCCACCCACTTGTAATATAACTTGATTTATATATATTTTTACATATTAATCAATGTTTCACGTTTTTTGAGTTTTTTCGTCGTGTAATCTATTTGATTCTCGGCGACAAATGAAATGGCCACGGAGAGCTTTAGTGAAGGTATACTTCAATTAAACTTATTAAATTCACTAGTTTCGTGGTCCGCTTGACCAATTAATATCTTTCAATTAATTAAGGTTTTTAGTTGAGATAAAAAAGTCAGTGTCACGAAAAATGGCAAAAAGGAGGGAAAATTCAAAAGGTGGGGTTGAGATGGTAAGTTAGTGTCCGAGTGGATCGAGGTCACGATAGCTCGAGTGGTAGAGCAGCGGCGTATCTAGCCGAAGATCGTGGGTTCGAATCCCGCTCTTGACACTGACTTTTTTATCTCAACTGAAAATCTTAATTAATTGAAAGGTTAAAAAAAAGTAAATTGCTAAGGAAAATGCAAAAACAAAAGACGGACAGATAAACTTTTTTGAATTTTGTTTTAGATTTTTAATATCGCTTATTTCCTCCTCTTGCCTTAATTACATCTCGAAGACGCCTCGGCATACTTTCCAGTCGGGAAATGTCTCTTTATTGGAGGTTAGCTCATTCTTCACGGAGAGTCCTTTCAAAATCGTAGAGTGTATCAGGAAGTGATGGACGTGCTCTTATTCGTCTTTTGAGGTTATCCCATAAATGTTCGATGGGGTTCAAGTCTGGAGAACGGGCTGGCCAGGTTGAGACCCTGACGTTATGCTGTTGAAGGTACTTTTGTACTATGCGAGCGACATGTGGACGGGCATTCGCTGATTTCGTCGAGGATAAGGCAACGTGATGTTCCAAAATTTCAACCGCATAGCGAATGGCCGTCAAAGACCCTCCGCGAACAACAACCAACTCTGTGAGACTCTCCATTGAAATTCCCACCCAGACCATCACTGAGCTACGTTGGAAAGGTTGGCTCCGGGAAAAGTTACAGGATTCGTAGCGTTCATTACGCCTTCTATACATTCTTTTACACCCATCTGTAGATCGTAGAGCAAATCTACATTCATCTGTAAAAAGTAGAGCAGACCAATCGTCCTAAGACCAATGGCTGTGTTCTCGAGCAAATGCGAGCCGTACAACTCTGTGTATTCTGTTCAATTCTGGTCCTCTTACGGGGCGAAAAGCTACAGTCCATACTGATTTAATCTTCTTCGACCAGGGCCTTCAGAAGTTTGGACACCTCGAACTTCCTGGAGCTGATGAAACGCTTAAACAACAGTAAGCTGCTGGTTTCGCAAAATTCTCAAAGTCAAAAAACGGTTATCCTGTAGTTCTGTTACCCTAGGGCGTCCACAACCAAGCCTTCTATGGTAGAATCCAGTTTCTCGAAAACATAGCACATAGCATAAACAAATATTTATTGGTAAAAACAATGAGACAAATTAATGGCAGAATTTTCTTTTATCGAGAAAAAAAACAAAACAATTGGGTGGAATTTTTGCCTGTCAATGTACATACTAAACTTTTTTTTAAACCTTGATGTTCATTTTGAGAGATCAACCAAGGTCTACACAGTTTTATTTAATCTGCTTAAAGAGCACGAACCAGGAATGATAAAAATTGCAAAATTTTGTTATGTTGTCTTGACTTTCGGTAAGAATTCTTCCTATACGTGTCGTAATGAACGTTGCATTGTTGATTGTAAAATTTAGTGGTTACAATTTCGTTGCACAAGGAAGTTCACCTGCCATTAGATGACCCTTAGTGGCTTAAGTTGGCTAGAACAACTTCCGTCCGTACTTTCTTCCTGATCAATGACGGCCATTCTAAACATTGGATTCTGCTTCAATGACTACTTCTCATTATTTTCCACACCATAACTCCATCGTGGCCTGAAGTTTGAGATTATTGTTCATCCGATGATAAATCAGAAAATTAGTCTTACATTAATTCATTAAATTAAAAAAAAACCGCACAATAAAACAAAAAGACTTTTCATTTTGTAACAAAGCAACAAAAAGGTTATAATTTCTCTGGTTTAAATATTAACTCCCCTTGTCAGCAGTCGGTACACCTTCTTTGTAAACTAAAATCAAATGAATGTAAATAAAATGAACAAAATAGTTGAAGAAAAATAACTTATTATTATTATATTAATAACTGCAATTATCAATTTAAGAAGGGACGTGGGTGACCACAACGGTGGCTTTGACACTGCGCGCATCACTCTAAGGTGTAGGTGCCGAGAGTTGAACTCTGCTGTTGCAAACCTTTGCCAAAATGCATAAATTTCATTTTAAGATAATATAATTTTTATGAACAAACCTATTTTGCATAGTTATCCTGTTTTATGTGACCTACTTATACACAATAACAAGGTCAACAAGTATATATATTTGTTATCGTGTATATGTGCTACAAGTATTAGTGTGTACCCACTCCGAAGATGCGATAAATAAGGGAAAAATAAGTTAAACAATGAGAAAGCAAGAAAGAACAAAAAGACAGATCGATAGATTGAAAGCTAGGAGTGAGAAAAGAGAGAGAGAGAGAGAAGGAGAGGCGTAAAGTGGGATAGAGAGAAAGAGAGAGAGAGAAAATGAATATAATTTTATTTACAATTATCGGAAATTTAAGCCACGAACGGCTCTCTTACCTTACTTAAATTGTGTGAAAGAGAGAGAGAGAGAGAGAGAGAGAGAGAGAGAGAGAGAGAGAGAGAGTGAGAGAGAGAGAGCATGAGAGAGGAAGGGGAAGGAGAGTGTTCGTGTATTGGGACTAATTTGAACCTATGTGTGTGTGTGTGTGTGTGTGTGTGTGTGTGTGTTTGTGATTCTACCGAATACAAAAACTAACGGAATATAAAAATTAACTGATATAGAACTTGTGTCAAGTAGTTTGATTAGTTTTGATATGATACACTTACAAAGTGAAAATTGATTTCTTTTTACTATCTACATTAATTTACTAATATTATTGAGGAAAGTTAAACATTTATAATTAAATTTTGTTCATGTTCATTAATAATACGCTCATTAATTATTGTTTTGTATAATCATGTCATAACTCCAGATGTCAAAAATTGAATTTATAAATCATATTTTCCTTACATACAACCTGCCAAACCTTCAACGTATGTAAAAAAATGTTCATCATTACTATATCTATACTTAAAAGCCAATCAATTAGGTTTTATTATAATTAATGTTAATTACATGTCACTCTGAATGCTCGAATATTTCATTATAGGAGGTAAGGTAAGATTTGGCGAATATCACATTTGACAGTCTCGTTTATACGAGCTTTACAATAATAAAAATTCAACCTTGGCAAATAAACAAAAATGACCTATTCGATTTTTCGCAATGCTGAATAAAAAGCTTCGTGCGGATACTAAACAAATCAAAATAGCAAACGTGACACATTCGTTATTTTGTAACATTTCGGTTCAAGAAAATAGACTAGCGAAACATTCATTCTATACTTTCGTAGAAAANCGCGTGCGCGTGCGTGTGTGTTAAAAAAGTTATTTTTTAGTTTATTTTTACTTTTTCTTAAAAATTATTGTTATTTATTATTTAGTTAAAAAAATACATATGTAAGCGCGTCCCTTCTCTTTTGGGCCCAACCCTGAATTTGGAGAACCGAAAACAAGGTCCCAGAGGTTTTCTTATGATCGGACCTGACTACAATACTTTAATTTATTGATCAGGCACTTTTAATATGTTCCATTCAAATATTCAATTCAAACCAAAATAAATACGAGACCAAAATATTAATTAAATTTAAATCTTTTATTACAATTTATTTAAAAAAAATTACAATTCTTTTATTAATTATTACGATATTTTTAATTTAAAGAATATTTTATTCTATAATAAAACTTATTTTAGAATCTACAATCATTAATTTTAAAATCGAATTTAATTCTCGTTTTGTAAAGAAAAGTAAAAGTAAAGGAAATTATTATTATTGTTATTATATTAATTTTTGACCACCAATTAGAAAATACAATTAATATTTCAACATAACTTTTAAAATCGAATGTTATCTCTTTTAGTTTTCTTTATAAAAAATATATTTTTTGTTACAACCCTTTTTTAAATTAAAATACAATTATTATTTTTAGTTTTTTGACGTCAAAATATAAAATTTACTCACTTGAACTGTGTGCACACCAAATTTTTCTTAATTACAATAAAACTGCTCTTAACCCATGGAGGACAGAAAGGGAATTGTTTTTTGATTGAAAAAAATAGCCCTTTCCTAGCCCCTACTCCTTTCACTGTCAAATCTGTGTGGAGGGGCATGGCGGTACATTCAAATCGAAACGTTACACATATATGATGTCTTGCAGTTTGGTCTTTTCCGATGATTGTGGTCTGTTTATGTTATTATCTGACTGATGTATTTCGACATTTCACCGTCTTTGGTGATTTGCCTAGCATTACTTTGTTCATAAATTTATTGTACCATTTTTTTTTATAGATAAAAGCTTAGAGAAAAGGGAAGAGGTTAAATATTTGTTTGGTCTAGTATTACAGAAATCATAGAATCATTCGGAAGATATTAATAAAGCTTAGTTCTTTAAGTTATATCGATCACCCAACCAACAAGAATAGGCAGGAATACAAGACGTTTAATATCCTATCATAAAAATTAAAAAAAAAGTTAAACTTCTTCAATGAACTAGTGCAAAAACGCGTACTAAAACCCAAATAAAACGAGAAAATATAGTTCCCATATCATTTTGATT